GGGAGGCAAAGGCGGGCAGATCATGAGGTCAGGAGTTCGAGAACAGCCTGACCAACATGGTGAAACCCCATCTCTACTAAAAATACAAAAATTAGCCAGGTGTGGTGGTACTTGCCTGTAATCCCAGCTACTCAGGACACTGAGGCAGAGTATTGCTTGAACTCAGCAAGGTGGAGGTTGCAGTTAGCCAAGATCATGCCACTGCACTCCAACCTGGGTGACAGAGTGAGGCTCTATCTTAAAAAAATAAAAATAAAAATAAACACACGCAAAGAAGAAATGCAGAACCACTTGCCCAAAAAGAAGGAAAAAGTCATTGTCCTTTCCTCTGTGATCTCTCTTCCAACCCAACGAAGTTGGGGTTTTTTGTTTGTTTTTGTTTTTGCTATTTAATGTTGTACTCCCATTACAAAGAAAGCAGGAGGTGGACCACATGTAAACTGAGGCTCCAACCCCAGCATGTGGATCTATTTTACCATCAGACTTCACTTACAAAATGCAAGTTTCAAGGAAAAGATTATTAAGAATTCAAGACAGCAACCACAGAGCATTAAGCCCCAAGTGTGGGCCAGCTTCTCAGCACAGAGCCCGGTACAACTGGGCTGACTGCACGTCTTTAAAGCCGGATGTATCTGGAAGGCAAAAGGCAACAGAACTGGGTGAAATCGGGGAGGGAGTAATATAGGGAGTTAAGATGAGGTAAGAGAAAAGAGGTGTAATATGTGCAGATTGGCACAAGCCATGCCATGCAGCACCCAGAATAATTTCTATGTCTCCCAAATTAGTTATTTGAGGACTCCTCACAGAAATAATCAATAGATGAACTTTATCTACCTCTTAAGGATCCTCCCCTCAACATGCTTCTCAAAAACATTATGGAAACAGACATTATGGAAATCGACCATTCTGAGATCCTGGGTAGCTTTTCAGATTAAGGGCCTGTTTCTCCTCTCTAGCCCAATCCTGTTTCCTCTACCATCCTCAGAATCACTCTGTTGCAAGAAATAATCTTATTGACTAATTCACTAACAACAAGTAGCAACCAATACATTTTACCTTCCAAAGAGAAACTTGTAAAGAGAAACAATTTCACATGCCAAATATTCTCTTGTAACAGTGTATTTACAAGATCAGCAAAAGGTCCCATTGATATCAGTGGAAAACATAATACAGAAAAGCATACAGATTTCAGTGGAGACCATGCCCAGGACTCCCTCCAATCAATTACTCCACCTTGGCAAGTCTAAGGGCCACCGCCACTCCAGCCTCCCACGCCCTCTGTACGTACTAATCGGCAGAGCAAATAGTCCCTGCAAAGGGGAAGACCAGCCAGACAGAATTTCCCAGCCATGGTATTTCAAAACATGTGAGACTGGATCTTGATCACCAAGAACCTGTCATCATAATTAAGCAGAAAAAAGCATACAGACATCTGTTCTGTCCAGGAACACAGACAGCATACTAATTTCAAGCTTCTGCCTGGAGTGGACCACTGCGTCCCTGGCTTGAAGAGGCTGCACAGCCAGACAAGCCCAGGCTGACCAGGCTGCAGTCATCAGAGGAGCAATAAAGGTCATTACCATTATGGCTGGAGGCTCTGCCTCTCATCAGCTGAATGAAGGAACGGAATGGAGTTCCTTCTTCACCACTGTCCCATCTTCCTCTTGCACACCCTGGATTCCAGGAACGAACCTGGGAGCTGAACTTGCAAGCTGAATCTTGTACTTTTCACTCCCTAAAACTGTCATAATATGCTTTTCCCTCCTCCTTCTATCCAGATCTTATCCACCTATCAAGGACTATCTGTAGCTCCACATTATTCATTTGCTAACTTATTCATTTACTAAAAATAAGTACTTAATTTGTACAAAGCAATATGCTAGTCATTGCATGTAATAGTAGGTAAATTGTGGGCAAATCTTTTCTTGGTGATGCTTATAAGCCTAGCGGGGAGAGTAAATAGATGCAAAAGAAAAAGAAAGAAAGAAAGAAAACCAATTAGAACCCTAACACAGGTAAAACTAGATGCTTAGGAGTTCAAAACAAAGAGCCATGAGTTGTACTGAAGCACAGCAAAGGCTGTATTGAAAAGGTGGCAGTTGTGCCAGGACTTGAAGAACAGGTAGCACACGAGGACACAGATATGCAGGAAGGAACAAAAAGAACTACTGAAGTAAACAGAAGGAAAAACATCTGCATAGTGTATGTGAAGAACATCAGATATGTTCAGTGTGATGAGGAATGGATTTCGATGGAGAGTCATGAGATACAAGGTTAGGAAAGCAGCCTGCCTAATCACAGCATGCCTCTGGAAAACCACCCAGGAGACCCCAGCCCCACCTGACCCCTCTTCTCTGTGACTTTCATATGCTTCTGTTTGTCCCTCACACTGTGTACTCTAAATGGCAGACATTCAGCTAATGTGTGTTGAATAATAAATTAATAAGCTATTCACTGCTAAGTGTTTCCATATAACATAACCCAGAGAAATTGGTATGTTCTAAGTCAAAATAGTTGCTTCAGAGTAACCATCTTTGTTCCTTAAGGTTTGCAAAACATCATAAAAACTAATAATAAGTATAAACTATTATAATAAATAGAAATTATGATTTGTGAAAAGCAAGATAATGGTGATAATTCACAAGTTAAGGGTATCTTGAGGTATGTGAATCATGTTTTATTTTATCTCACCAGTTTCTTCAGTTGAGAGTGAAGCAAAAGCAGATGTACTGGTGGAATTTAGAAGACCTGTGCTGCTCCCAGTATCCTGGACAGGCATTTCCACTTTTTGGAAACTTCAGCAGAGGGGTCAGAGATGGCACAAGTTGGAACAGAATCTGGCCAAAGAAGAGATAAAGTAAATGATAAGTGCCTGGAAAACTTAGAATTCTTGAGACTCCAAGCTGAAAACACTCAGTGGCTTTTAAAAGGTTTAGTTAAATCCTAGTAAAATTAAAATAGCAATAATAATATAATAATAATAGCTAGAATTTGAGTACTTGCTATGCACCAGATATTGCAATAAACACCTTATCAATATAATTTCATTTAATTCTTATAACGACCCTATGAAGTATTATTATAAATATTTAATAGATGAGGAAAGTGGGCATAGAGTGGTGGAGCAACTCTGATGTAAGTCTTAATTAGACTACCCCTCTGAATGAATGGATGCATAACCAACAGAGGCCAGGACACTTAGCAGACACCGAGGCAGATATTTCCCTTCCCAGAGCCTAATCTCTGATGGAAGAGCAGCTCAGAGTCCCTGGAGTTTTACATATGTGCTGATTCTTACAGACTTCCAAGGATGCAAAAACATACATGGCCACATTTAAGTGTTCAATGGATCCACACACTGCAAGCTAAGAGGCAACATGTTCAAACTCCTGAAAGGTGTTCTTTTTATGCAGACTGGGAAGGAGAAAGAAAGAAGTAGCACCTATAGATTTACTGTGTTGAAGAATGCTGGGCTAGAGTTGCGGACTCAAAGAAGAAACCTGACAAAACCATCCCTGTCCTTGGTGACCTACTAAGCATCTGTTCAACAATTGGCTTTGGTCTGCCCACTGTTTAACAAGACAGAGAGGTTTCTCAGTATCTTTTAGGCTTTTTCCTGAAACCTATGTAAGAGTGAGGAAATATTGGGCAAAACATCACTCATATCCTTAATCCTCTCCAGGAGATGATCTTGCAGATTGCAGATTTAGTAGCTCTATGACCTGCAACAAGTAATTGTGAGTCTCTGTATCACCACAGGTGTGTGTGTGTGACTTTTCTGTATGTCAGCCTCTTCATCTGTAAAATCGGGATCAGAGAATGCCACCACATAGGGCTGCTGTAAGGATTAAATGATACAATATGCATAGAATTAATATATATGTAATATACTTAACACGATGCCTGGTATATAGTCAGCACTATGCAAATGTTAGGAACTATTATTATGTGTAGCATAGCCATGCGAATGTTAACTATTTTAGTAATTAAGCAGAGGTTATTGTATTTATATACTAACTTGCCCACATCTGTGCACATTTTCTGAGGTATGCAGGTAAATTTCTACGGTGTTTTTGCCTTTATGAATTTGTTTTTTTTTCCTTGAATATCATAATTAGATTTATTTTCTTCATCTTTCTTTCATCAAACCCATTTACACCTCCTGACGGTGGAATAAGCGTCAAAGTGAGGACTGCAAATACCCAACACTGAAAGAGGTGAGAAGGCTCTTCATTTGGGCAATGCTCTGCCAGCAGAGAGAAGCTCTTCACCTTGTGTCTCATCGGGGACAGAAAACGTATCTCTGACAGAGGGGCAGTGGAAGAAACACACATCACGTCCCTCTGCCGCTTCATTCACTTAAAAATAGGTACAGTCATGCACTACCCAGTGATGTTTGGGTCAACAGCAGACTGTATGTATGATGGTGGTTTCATAAGATTATAATACAGTATTTTTACTGTACCTTTTCTATGTTTAAACACACAAACACTTTCCACTGTGTTCCAATTGCCAAGAGCATTCAGTAGGGTAACATGCTGTCCAGGTCTGCAGCCTACAAGCAATAGGCTCTTCCATATAGCCTAGGTATGCAGCAGCTGACCCACCTTGGTTTGGGAAAGTGCACTCTACGATGTTAGCAGGACGAAATGGCCTAACCACATATTTCTCAAAGCATCACATCCCCATCATCACGCGGCACGTGACTGTATATTGAACCAGGCCTCTATGGCTAAATCATGGTCTGGGCAGAAGAGAGCTTTGAAGAGGCACAGAGGCAGAGAAGGTGCCTGTCCTGGGGTGCCTCAGCAGGACCCAGCAACCAGCCTTGCAGAGGCCCTGCCTGCCAGCTGCCCTCACGGAAGCACCAGCCCCGCGGTGCAGGCAGGAGTGGGCCGGGCGAGCCAGACGCTCGGCCCCGCCCACTCGCCGCTCTGGGCACGCGGGAACCCAGCCCCTCCGGCAGCGGCGGCGGCTGCGCGGGCCTTGGGTGCGCGGGCACGCGGGATGCCCAGCTGTCAATCAGGCGCGGGCCGAGCTCTCCGAGGCGGAGCGGCGGCTGCAGCGGCGGCGGTGGCGATGGGACCCCAGCGAGAGATCTGCGGCTAGGCTGGCTGCACTTGCTCCACGGGTCAGGGGATCGGAGGGGCAGGTAAAGCCATGCGGAGGCCAGGGGTGGCGGCTTTCCATGCGCCACACGTCTCTCTCCAGTTCTTCCTCTCCTCCCTCTCTTTCCTTCCTCCTCCTTCATGCCTAAATGTTCTCTCTCTCTCTCCCTCCTGCCCTCCTTCATTCACGTTTATCATATGTGCCCCAATCTCCTCGAAAAAATATGCGTATTAAAATCCATGGAAACATACAAATGAGGAAGAGCCAGATCCATGCTTTGGTGGTTTGTGGCTTGTGTTATATAAGAATTTTGGGGTGGGGGTAGGGGTTACGAGGTGTGTACAGCTAAAAACTTAGGAGTTTCCTTTCCATAAGATACGAAAAGTTGTCTGTTATAGGTAAGAGTCAAATATACGTATTTAGAGTTTGGAAAGTTGGTATGATTTATTTTTCAGGCTGAATTGAGCCCCCACTGGCCTTCCCCACTCCTGTGCCAGGTCTGAAGATGTTTCAGTGTTTTGGTTGTGATCTCAGGACCTACTTCTTTGTGTTGTTAGAAAGGAACTTTAATGTGGGGGTCACACAGAGTCTGGAGACCTCAAGAAAACAGAGCTGGAATTTAACAGCTAATGTTTGCTTGATTGGTTCCTGGCACTGTTAACAGAAATGTTTTCAGGACCTTGGAGAGCTCCTTGGGCTCTGTATCAGCCAGCCTTTGGTGAAGGGCAAGTGTGGAATCTTCAGAGACAACGGAGGTGACAGATACAAAGAAGATAAATGTAATTCAGAGAGGAAGAGACAGAAAGGAAAGGAAGAGATACAGATGGGGGTGAAGGGCAAATCTGGAGGGAGTGGGGAAGAGGAGAATGTAGTGACTTTAGTGACCTATGATTGGCTTGTTTTCCTTTGCATATCCAGATCTAGGAGGCTAATACAATTTCCCTCTTTCCCCAAATCTGCTCACACATCACTCACTAAATTTGGGGAAAGTACAAGGGTCCTGAAGATTTGGCTTTGGTCCATATAGGCTGACCCTAGAAATGCTGGAAACTTTCAGGCCTCAGCTAGGCTTACTCATCTGAAGTCTTCAGGTTCTCCTGCAAATTAATGGGGACCTGTTCATCAGAAAGAATTCTTAATGATCCTTTAAAAAATATGGTCCCAGTTATTATCTTATTTCACATAACTAGAGTAATGTAGGAAAGCAATAGCCTTAGAGTTGGCAATGGCTTTTTAATTAAATTTTGCATGGGCACCTGCTTTTCTTAGGCAGCTGGAAAGCAAAATGATCATGATAGGAAGAAAACGGATACAGGAGTAAAACTCAGCCTAATGAGTGAATCATCCAAAGAGCCTTACAAAGTGTAAAACGCATGCAAACGTATCAGAAAATATAGTGATTATAGGACTCGCATATTTTACATGATAAGACCAAGCACCAGAAAAGATCAATTCTGAAGTATCTAGGAAGCAAGTAACTTTTTTAAATTTAGAATTTATAAACTATAAATGAATCCATCGAGTTGGTATTATTAACATGAAATATAGTTATATCAAAATAAGAATAGCATGTGTACAGTGTGTTATAATTTATAAAGCCTTTTCATGTCATATCATTCACTTTATAAATTATTATGAGAACTCATTGAAAAGCTTTAAAATACAGGTTAGACTTTTGTTTTTTACAAAGCTATCCCAGTTCTTAAACAAGAAGTTCTTCACTGATGCCTTTATCAATATTAAAATGATTAACAGTCATATTAATGGCCTATGAAATTTAGATTTTGATCTGGATTACATTCTGCAGAGATTATTTTTCTTAAATAGGATTGAAGAATGTGTCATTAAAAAGAAAGATCAAGGAGTAAACAAGAAGAAGAAGAAGACTTCAAAGGTAAGACTTAAACCTTATCACATGTAGATTCATAAGCACCCTGTGTCTGTATCTAGATAGATAAGAGATTCAAACCGAATATGGGTTTTTTTCTTTTCTCATTTTGGCTTTGGACTTTACGTACCTTTCTTAAAAAATAAATCTTGAAGAATTAAAGTAAATGATAACGAGTAAGATAATCTTACATCATTACTCCTTTTTAAAAATTATAAAAGTGGTTACATGTCCACTGACTTATAAGGTATTTTTATCACTCAATATAAAGCCACAATCTCTACCACTTTTTCAGAAAAATAAAATATCTCTGAAATAATCCATTGGTAGAAGCATGGTTCATGTTTTTAGACCATGTTTACAGAATTTCAGAAAGCCTGATTTAAAAATGAAAAAGCTGTTGGCAGGCTTTCATGCCTTCCTGGATCCCCTTTGAGTCTGATTAAATCTTTTAAGGAACTGACTTTTCAGCTCAGTGTTGAATAAGTGGTCTAAATTGTCTATGTGCCTATACCTTGCCTTTTGCAGCACTGGCCCTGTGGAAAAGTGGCTCTAATGAGAACCTCAGTCTCATTATCTCAGAATTATTTTATGGGAGAGAAAAGCAGCATGAAAAATTGAATGATATTTCAAACAAAATAAACAGAACAGGGCCTGTGCCTGGCCTCACAACTGACTCACACATAGTGTCACAGGAAAACACTCATTCTTTTTGTGCCTCAATTTTCTGCCTCTTCTCTCAAGGAGACTGTGAAGACAAATAATACAATGCCTGTGATGTTCTTAGAGTTTCATCAGGCATAAAGATTTATTTCTGTTTCAAGGCTATGAACATTTATAAAGGGAAATAAAAAGTAACTGCATATATTAGACTGAAGCTTAAATTTCCAACACATTGATACTATAGTCTATTGGCACACATAGTGATATCATAATAGCACATGCCTGGGTTTGTTTCCCTAATAAAGGAATTATTCAAGGGATTCTCAGCATTTGTACTCCCTTCTGTTGTAAATACCTCTTAATGATGCCCATTTTGTTGTTTATTGCTTCATGAGTGTGTCTCATTGCAACCCAAGAGTCCACTGAGGGCAGACACTGCCCCACTCATCTTCATAACCATTATCTGTCTCACAGGTGTCTGGCACGTAGAGCTTTAAAAACACTGAAGGAAGGGAAGAATGAAAAATGGAGGACTGCTCAGGCCTTCATCCACACCAACCCATGTAGAACTCTGAAGGAAATCTTAAAGTACAGGAAATTCAAGTGGTAGACAGTACAGAAAAAGGTCCCTACCTACATGCAGCTTATAATAGATCATGTATATGATCTATCAGACCATAAGCAAATAAACCACACTTAGAATATCAGGTAGCAACAAGTGCTAGGAAGACGGTAGGAAGTGAAACAAACCTAGACAAGGGTATAGAAAGTAACAGAAGGCTGATGTTTAGATATGCTGATCATAGAAAGCCTCTCAGAAGAATTTGGTAGGGAGTGGCAGCATAATTTTTTCCCTCCACTGGTCTCTGGGTTATGATAGGTGTGCTGAGTTGGTAAGAATTGAATATTCATTTAATGTATGACTGTGCATGCAACTGAGACAGTTGCTATGGACAGATTATAAAAAGAAAACCATGGATGGATCCTCATTTATCAGCAAGTGAAGTATCCTTCAGAGAGAATAAAAACAACTCTCTCTTCATAGATAACCAAACAATCACACACAAAAGTTGCTTGTGCCCCATCATCATGGCCATGCTGTCAGGGAGGATGCCACAGGCTTCATTAGAGTGTTTACAGAACGAAGACTAACGTGGATTGATTTACTCATCCCTTCTATCCAGGTACTTCCTGTGATGTTAAAGCTTTCTGTAAAGAAAGAAAGCCCTCTAAAATCTGTTCATTAACAACAGTCATAGATTTAACCTTTTTGTTGTTGCTGCTACAGCAATTGAAATACAGACATCAAAATTCTTATGAAACCTTGATCTTTATGTAACTACTAAGCCAAGGTAAAAAGCCTTTGCACATAGCTTCTGTTTCTGTCTCAATTCTAGTTTATTATATAAAATTTAATAACTGCCCAGTTTTTATAGTGACCTTTTCAAGTGACCTCACATATCTTTTTTATAATATCAATCAAATAAAATTCTAAATACCTGTAACATTCTCTGACATTGGACAAAAAGTTACTGACTTCCCCAGGAGATGTGTAACTCTCTGTTGAGATTTTGTAGGTCCAAAACCATCACTCTAACATGTTGTATTTTAAAATTCATGTTCTTCCAATTATTCTCCCGAGGAGTGAATTCCAGGTAGTTGTATGTTTGGGAAGATGTGTGACACCTCTCAAACCCCTGGAAGCCTGTTAGGCAACATACATGATACTGAGCTAACTCATTAAACAAACAACATACATTTAGTCTACCTAGTAGCAAGAAACTAACCTAACTAGTTATATGCCCTTTTTAAATGGAAGCTGCATACATACTAGTATACAGTAAATTGAGCTGTCAATAAGGATATAGAAGGAGGGGAAATAAGTAAACCTAGTTGTTTGTTCAATAAAAAATGATTGAGTCATTCTGTACAGACCCACAAAAAATCCCAAAAAGCAACATCTGGAAGGAATTAAGATTAATCTGGGCCAACCCTGTTACTTTAAGGATGATGAAACCATAGCCCAGAAAGGCTAATGAGCTTGTCTGAAATCTCCTGACCAGTAAGTTGCAGATCAAAAACCGGCATTAGAGCCCATTCTCTGCCCTGTGTAGGTAGCACAAAATGGGCCATGTTCTTGTTCATGTTTTGTGCCCCTGGAGGAGAAAGTAAGGCTCTTTGGAGTTCCTTTTCTGGAATGTAGCTGACATAGCTAAAAATCCATGACTTCAAGTAGAGCCTTCAATCACTCAGGCTCAAAACATTTGTTTTATGACACTTTCTATCTCTTTTATGATCTTACCCATATTGTATTTAACAAAGTTGGATAACTGGGTCTCATCTGATAAAGCAGAGACATTTAACCTAGTGTGCCAGAAGCAAGCTGTGCAGGGAATGGCTATTATATATCACACAATCAAAGCTCCATCCTGAGAAAGAACAACTTCAGCATCTAAGGAAAAATAACGCTCACTGTTGCTATGAGGGATTTTTTTATTCCTATCATAACTATTTTTGTCCCTTTTTCATGTTAAAGTCTCTTGCTTTATAGAAAATCTGAAAATATATCTTTGGAGGAGGTGGTTTGACTATGCACATATATGATTCAGTCCATACTCCTGTTTCCTGTATTAACTGTCATTTTTCATCTGTTCCCTGACTCATGGTGTAAGCTTTAGTAGATGACTTTTCTATGCTTGAGTTTCCTAGTTGATAAAGCAGAGTTAATAATACCAATCCCATCTCCCCTTGGCTGAAATTTGCATTAGAATACCTTAAAGGAAAATGCCTTTAAAATTATGCCACTTATATGCCGATGGTAATAGGCTCTTGTTAATCATTTCATTGTATAAGCATTAAATAGAAGGTACTGAAGAGATCATCCTAGTGCTTAATATATTAAAACTAGGTTCATATCCTTTTGATCTGCCAGATTTTGCTGCTCCACTCAGGCAAAGAACATTCTAAAAATCTTGACTTTTTAGGAAATCACATCTTTCTAAATGTTTAAAAGCAAATGTGTGTGTGTGTGTGTGTGTGTGTGTAAACTCTTGCCCCCCTGTGCTCTTTCCCTGGGTGATTTCTTTATATGGTAGCTATACCTGAAACAGGAAAAATGCACAGGCACTAACAGTTAGTTGGTTTTAATTGACCAACAGCTAAAAGTATTAGGTTACTGGTAACCACTAATAGCACCTGCTGCTTCATTTTTCTAAGACCAGGGTCATGTTTTCCTCAATTTGACTATATTTTAAACCAAAACTCGTGTAGCTAAGGACACATATTTAAAGATGTTCTCATGGGTTTACTTTGTGCCCACTAGACAAGGAATTGCTGACTATCCCTGGTTCCAACTTTGATTTTAGGCCCATAATTCTATCCAATCAAACTAAGTGGCTACATATAGGCACTTGATGGGACTGTAGATCATTATTTTTCTTTTGTAGATAAACATTATTAGCTGGTTGCTTGACAAGTAATTGGAAACATTTAATATGCCTCCGTTGGCATGGATTATAGCACAGGCTCTGAGAAAACCTGGTTTAATGGGAAAATAATCTTCTATGTTGTTGCTCACTTTGTCACATATAGACCATGTATGTCCACACAACCAAAGCTATCTACAGGATAATTTTTTTGGGAGAAGTCTGATTTATTTGAAAACACAAAAATAATAACCTTCATTTATAGTCAAACGATGGTGTGGCAGCTATATTCTGGACTAAAGAATTCTTTCAAAATTTTGTATTTATTTTATTATTTCCACTTTTTTATATTATACTTTAAGTTCTGGAATACATGTGCAGAGCATGCAGTTTTGTCACATAGGTATATATGTGTCATGGTGGTTTGCTGTACCCATTAAATGCATTACCTAAGTTTTAAGCCCCACATGCATTAGGTATTTGTCCTAATGCTCTCCCTCCCCTAACTCCCACCCCTCAACAGGCCCCAGTGTTTTTTGTTCCCCTTCCTGTTTCTATGTGTTCTCATCTATCTACAGGATAATTTAAAAATCCAAACACATATTTCACATTTCCAGCTATATATTTGTTTGCTTATATGGCGATCAGAAAGTACAGATGATAAGTGGCAATTCCCTTATTCACCAAAATTACTGTCCTCAGTAATTCTTTCTTTTTAAAAAAAACCATGATTAGTAACAAAATCCATATAAATGCCTCTCTCTAAAGGTATCAATTAGGTCAAAATAAACTAGAAATTTCCATCTTAAAAAAGCAGAGCCCCAGGCAGCTTACCCAGGACATAGCTTTATTTAACAGTTCTCTGAGTTCTTACTTACACTGGATACTTCCTGGAAAATAATAAAAGGCTGTGTCCACTCTCCACATTATATTCTAGCCACCCACATGGACAGATGGATCCACAAATAATGACTAAAATATATGGCGTTAGAGTTAGTGAGGTATAAATTATTGGCCAAGCCATTTGTGATTAATAAAGCATGAGGCATAAGTTGCTCAGCAGCTTTTTAATACAGCTTTGTACAACTTGACAATTAGTTAAAATGTCAGAGGAAGATACATGAGACTGGAAGGCAAAATTTCGAACTGATAGGAGTAACACTGTGTAAATTTCACAAGGAAATATGGTTAAAAATCTGAGAGGACAGTTTAAGACAAACTCCATCTTCAGCAAATGAGAATGCATGCCCAATTCTTTAACATGTAAGTGCAAAGGCGACTGGATTCTAAGAGATTAAAGATTTATTGTCAAGGCCATGAAAAAATCTCAGCTTCTTTGTTGTCATTTATTGCGTGCTTCATGCTTAAATGTGTACCTAATTTATGTGAGCTGTGCTGTTGTGTCTCATTTCATTTGTGGAGATGCAGTTCTAGTCATGAGTAGTTAGGGTAGTTTTGCATTAAACAAAAAAGAAGAGCCACTTATAAGAAAGAGGGGTCTTTAAAAGTACCTTTTCTCTAATGAAATGAGCATTGTTCAACTAGGCATACATTACTCAGTCTGGTTCTTACCTTTCCTATGTCTTTTCATCCTGACGCCAAAGCCCGTGGCACTGATCCATGTGGGTGTTGTCATTCCAGCTGGGAAGGATGAGTTCTTGCAGCAATGTGTGTGGGTCCAGGCAGGCACAGGCTGCAGCCGAGGGCGGGTACCAGCGCTACGGAGTCCGGTCCTACCTGCACCAGTTTTATGAGGACTGTACCGCCTCAATGTGGGAGTATGAGGATGATTTCCAGATCCAGAGATCACCTAACAGGTGGAGCTCAGTATTCTGGAAGGTAAGAAAGGAGCATGTGTTTAGCTTAGGGGATGGAAAAATTATTGGACATAGTTAATACTGCAGCTGTGGAGGATGAAGAGGCTTAGTGCTCTCTGTGATCACTCCTGATGATACTAAATGTATTTTTCTCAGTATATCACTCCTGGTGATACTAAATGCATTTTTCTTCCCTTAGGACAGAAGAATGCAAACCTTGGGCCAAAGAAAGCCTCTAAACAGAGCACAATTATTGATGAGCAGGTTAAACATAAATAGGTGCAATTCTCATATTAATAATGTGCCACTAAATTCACTCACTAGAGGCATTCATAGGCAAAACATTACATTCTTTTAGCCTCCCTTACAGGGTTGATAAATATCCTTTGATAAGTTGCAACAGTTATTAAAAGGAAATCACTACATATTTAGAGAGAGTTAATGACGAGATGTAATGAAGTGGTCAGTACACCAGATCTGCCTCTACCAAGTGTGTGACCATGGGGCTCTCTGACCCTAGCTTCCCCAGATGAAGGAGTCTCATTAGATAATTAGTGAGCATCCACTCGGTGCCAAAAGGGTTCAAAGTGCTGGAGTTAAAGTGCTAAACAGGAAAAGAAAAAGTCACCTCCCTCATGGAGCTTACAATCTCTCATGGGAAACAGACTGTAAACCAAGAAACCACATGACAGAAGGATAGGTAGTGACAGTGCTGTGGATGACAGGGAGTGATGGAGACCAGATTTGGATGTGCTGATGGTCAAAGGCTTTCAGAGGAGATGCCATCTCAGTGAAGGCCAGGATAAGCTGAGAGAACAGACCTGGCTGAACGTTATCCTAGACTGGGAAGTGAGCCCAGAAGCTCTGAAATGGAAACAAGTTTGGTGTGTTTGAAAAAGAGCAAGAGGTCTCTACTCTGGTTGGGGTGGGGCGAGAAAAGGGACAGGCAATAAATTAAGAAAAATAACACGGCACAGATGACTTATGTAGAGCCTTGTACACCGTAGTGAGGACTTGGGTTTTTACCTCGAGAGACATGGGGAGCCACTGGAAGATGGTGATTAATTTAGAGGGTGTTAAAGTAGCCAGGCAAGAGATGCTGGTGGAGTTAACAGAGGTGGTGAAAAGTAGTCAGATTTAGCTAAAGGATATGCCTATTAGACATCCAAGTAGGGATGTCCAGTGGCAATTTAAATATATAACCTACAGCTCGAGGACTGGGAGTTACTGACACACAGAATCTATGCAAGGCACTGGACTTCTGAGATCATCCAGGAGGAGAATATGGATGTAGCAGAGAAGAGGGCATTGGGATGTTCCAACATTCAGAAACTAAGAGAAGGAAGCGGCTTCAGGAAGGGATACTGAGAAGGTGAACCTCAGATGATGCCAAGGTCTTCCCCCAGCTCTAACAATCTTTGTTTCTCCCAAAAGATTCCAGAACTTTTTGACATAGACATTGACATAAACTTGCAACTTACTGGCCGTATAAGGAGAGGCGGACGAGGAGGGGCGGACGAGGAGGGGCGGACGAGGAGAGGCGTATCAGGAGGGGCGTACGAGGAGAGGTGTATCAGGAGAGGTCTATCAGAAGAGGCGTATCAGGAGGGGCGTAAGAGGAGAGGCGGACGAGGAGAGGCGCATCAGGAGAGGCGGACGAGGAGAGGCGGACGAGGAGAG